TTTTTGGACCATTTCTCGATTTATGCATCTCATCCTTGGACAGGGGCCATGCTTATCTTCTTTCTCTGTATAGTTCTAATTGTAATGGATGTCCCGAAGGACAGATCAAATCTAATCTAACCTAATCTAACCTAATCTAACCTAATCTAACCTAATCGAATCTCATCTTATCTAATCTAATCTAATCTTTTGCCTTAATCTAATCTTTAATCTAATCTAATGTAATCTCAAGTTGGGAGCATGTGGATGATATTGTGTGGGGCCTTTACTCAAATATTGCATGGATTCAAAAAGCCTTTGACTTTGAACTATTGTCGTTCGAGCCTCTGTGCTTCCCCTAATATAGTTATTGTACGCTTCTATTATTAGCGTATATTCTACTTATGAATGCGCCTCTGATACTGCAAAGCCCTTTTATGGCACTGGAACCAAGTCCTGAAAGGGCAAATTGGCAAAATGAGTGCAGTTGTGTGAGAGTCAGGCCACATTCTAAGCGCTAATCTGGTCGCAAAACAGACCAAGTTCAGCGTAACAAACTGAGCATGAATGTACCACGAGTGGCGTCTGGATGTCAGGCGAAAGTGCGGCCGGGCGAGGGCAGAAAGACGCCGCACCATGTCCTTCTTCATCACCTGCAATTCTGAATTTTTGGACGCGACTTTGTTTTCTTTCTTTTTTCTTTTTTGCCCTTCTGCCAGTTACGTCCGGGCTGTCCGATCGGACCACCGGACCAAATGTGTCCGCCCGGACCCTTCTGTCCGCCCCAACTGAACTTGACGTAACTATTTTCTGTTTTTCTTGATTTTTTCTTGATTTTTTCTTGATTTTTTCTTGATTTTTTCTTGATTTTTTTCGTGTGGGTTCTATGTCAGCTTAGGTAGATGCCCATAAAATTTTGGGGCAATTAGATCAGTAGGGAAAAAAAAAAAAAAAAAGCCAAAGATGGTGGTGTCAAAAGGCCTCGCTGCACTACTCTTGAAAGGTGCAAAACGAGAGTGAATCTTCCGCTAGAACATGGAAAGATGCAGCGACATGATTTTTGTCTTTTGTGCATTTCAAGAGTAGTGCAGCTAGGTCCAAAGACATGCTCTCCGAGTCAATATGTATTATGTATGTTTTTTGTTTTCCTTTTGCCTGTTTCGTTTATTTTGGGGCGTTGACTTTTTTCTTATGGGTTCGTTGCAAGTTTTTTTATGAATTTTTTCTTGTGGGTTCTTTGTAAAGTGAGTTATACCTTCATACAATTTCACAGAATGTGAAGTGATTTATACCTTCATATATTTTCACAGAATTTGAATTTGTCAACAAGAAAAAAGAAAAATTGCCAAAGATTGCGGTGTCAAAAAAAAGACCACCACCGCTGCAGCCGTCACAGCAGCGGGTTTCTTTTTTTTTTTTTTTTTTTTTCACACAATTATCAAAATAGAATTGAGTCGAAGACCAATTCTAGTCATCGTCTCTCCCCAAGTCAATCATCAGCACCTGTTTCCAAGAATCCCAACGATGATATCAACACCCACGGCCCAATTATTTACAAAGTTTCATCGAATCCACTTCCAGGAGTCTTCTTCTTCCTCCCTCAATCGCCAAGCTCTAGCTATGGCGCCACTTCCACTTACAGCGCCCAAACCTGTCAAGCCGGCAGCACCACACAACCCTCCTGTGTCCAACAGAAACGATCTCACAGGACTCCAAAGCCCAGCTGCAGATGAGACGTCCGCTCAGCAGGGGGGCGCACCTCCCAGGATGAAGACGAAGAACAACAACAACCCGATGAAGATCAAGACCCCTTCTAAGTGGCAGGGGAGCCCACTTAGAAGGCAACTTGTAGAGAGAGGCTGCTTCGCTGGCAGCTATTCAAGCCCCAACATCACAATAAATGGGGGAAGCGCCCAGCAGCGCACAGGGCCTAAAGCCCGGCTGCCAAGGAGGCTGCGCGGCCCCAGCTATGGCCGCCAGCAACTTGTCTCGTGAGGATGCGCAGCGCTGCTCGAAATAGCGCAGCAGGGCGAACGCGACCTCTGGCGAACACTCGTGAAGAGAAATGCAACGAAAAGACTCGGTTCCAAATCCCGCCCCGACTTTTTGTAGATTCACTATCGAGCGACTGGACTGCTAGGACCCCTATGACAGGTCGAACAGCCACCTACAGCCTGCGGAGTTATACAAAGGTATGTATGGCCTGGGTGGAAAGATGAAGTCCCCCAAGTCCCAGTTTTGAAGTGATTATGTAGATGAGTTTGTAATCTGATGGGACCCTGGCCACAGTTTCCAGCAGTTGCTGCCCACCACCAGTATGGTGTCTCAGCAATCACAAGCATACCTAAAACCCCGGGGTGGTAGGACACTTGGTAGGATGCTCACAATAGGCTTGAGATTTTTTTTTTTTTTTTTTTTTTTTCTAGAAACAACGTCGTCTCAGTCTTACTTGGCACCCGCTACCCAAGAGATAGACTGGATCTCCCGATCGGCATCAAGCAGAGTCTGCTATGTTCGTAGGGGAGGGGCCTGAGGGGAGGCACGGGGGATTGGTCCGCTTTATCCCTGGTGCTACCGGCCGTCCCCTGGCCGGTATCCTGCAGGCTCGAGGGGCCGTAAAAACACGGCTCTGGTATGCTACGGGTTTCCCCGTATGCCTATAGGTAGGAGTAGTGGTAGGTAGGTAGCGTGAGGAAAAATTGAGAGAAGAGTATAGTTAAAAAAAAAAAGAAAAAAAGGTTGGAGTTCGAAATAGGCGGAAAAAAAAACAGTAAATGCAGTTTTGTCGCGGTGGCAGTTTGGAATGCGCAAAAGATTGAAAAGAAACAAAAACAGCGCTTTTGTCGTTTTTTTTTTCTTAACTTTTTCTTTTGGGGGTCGATTTTTTCTCCTCTTTTTTTTTTTTCTTTTTTTTTAAACTCAGGCCCTCTGCATACCACTGCCCGCTCCTATAGTTATGACATCTGTGCTCATTAGAAACGGTCACGCCTTTTTTATCGCCTTTTCGAACTTGCCGCGTGAGTGCCCTGCCCGTGCACGTGCTTTTATTGCCTATTCGGAACTCATTTTTTGGCTACAGACGTAGTTGGCTCTTTTTTCAGACAACAACAGATGATGTGGCATGTGGCTCTTTTTTCAAACCACCGATGATGTCGCAAGAAGCTCCCCACACTGAGCGCAGCCTCCTAACGACCTTACCGTATGGCCCACTAGAGCTTTGTCTAGTGTTGTCTGAAACAAGAGCCAACTACGTCTGTAGCCCTGCCCGTGCCCGTGCGCTAGAGCTTTGTCTGACCCCGTACCAGTTGCACCAGCACCTGCACGACACTCGCAATTGTCCAGCTGAGGGGCGACGGCCTCACTCGACCCTGCCGGGTCTCTATCAGGTACTATGGTGCCAGGACAGCAACCTACAGAAATCATGGACTGAATGTAGACTGATACGACTCTGAATCATTGTATCGTACTTCCAGATATCCACTTAAACCACTAGTACCATTGTCGGTTCGGAGTTCCTTTAGGTCGCGGTTTACAGCACCGGTTTTCTATTTTCGTTTTTTTTTTTTTTTTTTTTTTTTTTTTGCAGTTCTGCAGCCTGCACATGCTGCTGCAGCAATGCATCTCCTGCTGCATCAGTTGCGCACCTGCAGCTAGAGCAGGTGCTGCATCCGCGGCGGCAGCATCTGCACCATCTGCTGCTCCTGCTGCAGATCCGGCAGCCACTGCACCTGCTGCAGTGGCCGAACACCCTGCGCCCCCCCCCTCCCTACCGCAAAACCTATTTCCCCCTTTGTTTTTCCTGTCCAAATGACCTGATTTTTTTTTATTTTTTTTTTCTGGGGTGTCCTCGGGGTGCACAACCCCCCCCAAAGGGCTATATAGGGTTCAGCCTCCTGATGAGTCGGTGAAACTCCGACGGAACAGTTTGTCACAGCGCCTCGTTTGGTGTCCTCTTCTCCCTTCTCCCTCTCTGCCTACAGTTATATATGTATATATTGTCTCTAATAGGTGGACATTGAGTTGTCGGGGACCCTGGACAACTGGGGTACGGGATGTCCGATGATGACGTCCAGCCAGGACGTCTGCCGATCGGACGACTGGCAACGTCGTCGAATTTTTGCCCTTTTCTTTTTGTCAAGTTTTTGCGATTTTTATGATATGAAGATATTAAATTATTAATCACACGTGTGACGGGATGAGAGGGCCGAGTCGGAGGTCTTGGAGAAGTGGTATGGCATGGTGGATGTTGCAGTACTGTGAGGCTCTGAGTCCAATTGCTGTATCGTCGACTCTTCATACCGGCAATCACCGATACGTGCAGTCGGCTTTTTTTCTCAATTTTGCATCGTGTGGCACGGTGGACCATGTACCAGATGTAATTGACAGGTCCTGATACTCGTCCAACCTGGGCGAGGAGGATGAAAAGTTGAAAACAATATTCCGATCGAGTTTTTTTTCTGTGTTTGCTGTGTACTGGATTTACTCCTCAATGTGGTAGCCACTGGTAGGTTTTCTGCGCAGACTGTATCTTTAGTGTACTGACTATCGACTTGCCGTTTTTTGTGTACTGTATTAAAATATCCTTTCTTTTTTCCCGGCACTCTTCGAACTTCTCTATGTGCAGGATGACTTAGCCAATCTGCCAAGTTCGTGCGATACTGTGTCGGGTGAAGCATCAAGAACGGTGTCCGTTGCATGATTGTTATAATCGTGCTCGAGCAGGATTTGCGGAGGAACAGACGGGAGAGTGTCTCTCTTACATGACCGTAATAATCATGCGGGAAGCGCAGAGGGAAGGGGGGGGGGGGKGGAGGAGACGAAAGAGAAAGAATCTGGGCGAAGCGGGACCTCGGGTTATGTGGAGGAACAGAGGAGGAGTGTGTTTTTGATAAGAT